AGGACCATCTCCCCTTCCAGGGCTAACTTCAGGGTCTTGGCTTTTTCTGTTACTTAGGGAAGGACTATTTCATAGCCCAAGCTTGCCAAATCTGGACGGGGCTGCCTTGAAGTGGCCTGAGTCACCGGACGTACTGAAGCTTTTCTCATGGGCGAGAGGTTTTCTTTGTGCTCCGTGTGGACTAGGTACCTCTGAAGTTCTTGCCAAAGTCTGAGACATTAGGATTCCGTGAACGTTAGACTTAGTGCTATATAATTAGGATGCTAAACCTCAGGATAGAGTAGTGGGGGAAAATCACATGGAAAAAGAAAATATACAATACTTTCCAACATCGAGTACAGATCCTGTTTCTTTTGCTGACTGATCTGACCCATCTGTGACGCTGATCTTTCTCAGGGGCACAATTTCGAGAAAACTCAAGCAAACAGCTCCAAACCACCGCAGCCTTTTCAGACTGGTTTGTGGTTCTCTTTGCTTTCCGGGTTGTGGCAGGAACCTTGGTCTCTGGACAGGTTTCTGGACTGTTCCATGCTCTGCGAGCCCCGAGTCTGCATTCTTGACTTTGCGTTGGAGTAGGATGCCAGGTCTTAGAGCTGGTATCTCAAGAGATAAGCCATCAGCTCCAAGGAACGTGAGAGCCAAAGACAAATAGAAACGCTCTGTACCTCGGTCAATGGAGAGATTCTGCCTGAGGTTGTAGGTGGAGCGCTGGAGAGCAGAAGTAGGTGGCTAACAGGAGACAGAGCCTCAGGGAAGGTCCTTTCTGCAGCCCCCTTAGAGGGCGGATATCCCCCCAGGCCCCCAGATATCAGACTGAGGAAAGTGGGGATGTGTCACCCTGGAGGCTTCCCGGTGAATAGTGCATGCAAAAACCTCAAGTCCCGCCACTGCACCCAGCTTCAGGGCAACCAGGGCCTCTTTTGTGGGGAAGTCTAGCTTCCCATTAGCTCAGCCCTCCTGCCTTCACTAAGCCCTGCTGACTTCCAGTTGGCCTGGTCATCAGATAAATGGCTCTGTTGAAGGAGCAGCCTCTCTGTTCTTGCTGAAGACTTCCGTTTTCTGCCAACATGGGCACATCAGGCTGGAGGAAGATGTGCCATAGGTAAAGTAACCTTGTACCGTATGACTTTTAAAAAATCGCATCCACAAAATCCACTAAAATATGAACAATGGCCAGGCGTGGTGGCTCATGCCTGTAATTCTCGCACTTTGGGAGGCTGAGGTGGGTGGATCACTTTGTTGCAGGAGCGGCCGTGGGAAACATCTTTCGGACACCGAATATTGGAGGAAGGAGTTTATTCAGCCCGGGAACAAGGTGGCATATTTGCCTAATATCCAAGCTCCCCTAACAAAGGAAGATTCCTTCTTTATATAGGCTTACACTTTAGATGTTACACGTGGAAGAATCTTAGGTTTATAGCTTAACATATGAAAAGGGTCTCAGTTTACAGTCTTAGGAATTACATATGAAAAGGGTTTCAGTTTACAGTCTTAGGAATTACATATGAAAAGGGCTTCGGTTTACAGTTTTAGGAATGAAAAAGGGAAGTTTATAGTCTTAGGAATGAAAAAGGGAAATTGATCTGAGATGCCTGGGTCTCCCTCTTCATTCTGAGGTCAGGAGTTCAAAATCAGCCTGGCCATCAGGGTGAAATCCCATCTTTAAAAAAAAAATAAATAAATAAATAAAAAAGAAAAAAAAATACATGAACAATGGCTGCCTTTGGGTGATGGACTAAATGTATGTTATTCTCTCTTTTATATTTCTGGATGCTCTCATTTTTTCTACCATAAACATTCACTTTTTTTTTCCTTCTTTTTTTCTTTTTGAGATGGAGTCTCACTCTTTCACTCAGGCTGGAGTGCAGTAGTGGGATCTTGGCTCACTGCAACCTCTGCCTCCTAGGTTCAAGCCATTCACCTGCCTCAGACTCCCAAGTAGCTGGGATTACAGGCGTCTGCCAGCACACTCAGCTCGTTTTTGTATTTTTACTAGAGACAGGTTTCACCATGTTGGCTAGGCTGGTCTCAAACTTCTGACCTCAGGTGATCCACACACCTCGGCCTCCCAAAGTGTTGGGATTACAGGCGTGAGCCACCACACCTGACGGCATTCACTATTTTGTAATGAACTAAAAGAGCTAAAATAAAGAGAGTGGAATGTTTCACATATCATGGCATTTGGAACAAAAAGTATATCTTTCATAATACAGAGATCCACCCAATGGGAAATGCAGTGAATATTCTCTTGTGGACACCTGTACCCCACTGTTTCCTCTAAGTGAATGGCTGTCACCTAGCTGGTGACAGGTAGAACTCCTCAGTTCTTAGATGGGCTTGCAGGGATTACCCTTGTGAATCATTAAAACACAAACATCCAGTGGGTACTTTCTGACTGCCAGGTCTTCCTCTCTGTGCCTTACGTGTGTGTTTCATGCATACAGCCACCTGAAGCTGGTACCAATGCAGCAGTCCTCCTTTATCCATGGTTTCACTTTCTGTAGTTTTAGTTACCTGTGATCAACCATGGTCTAGAATTATTAAATGAAAAATTACAGAAATGAATATAAGTTTTTTGTTTTGTTTTTTGAGATGGAGTCTCGTTCTTGCTGCCCAGGCTAGAAGGCAACGGTTCAATCTCAGCTCACTGCAACCTCTGCCTCCCGTGTTCAAACAATTCTTCTGCCTCAGCATCTCAAGTAGCTGGGATTCCAGGCAGGTGCTACCATGCCTAGCTAATTTTATGTGTTTTTAGTAGAGGTAGGCTTTCACTATGTTGGCCAGGCCAGTTGCGAACTCCTGACCTCAGGCAATCCACCTGCCTCGGCCTTCCAAAGTGCTGGGATTACAGGTATGAGCCACCGTGCCTGGCTGTAAGTTTTAAATTGTGCACATTCTGAGGAGTGTGGTGAAGTCTTGCACCGTCCTGTCCCGTCATACCCAGGATGAGTCATCCCTTTGTCTGGTGTGTCCACACTGTATACGCTACCTGCCTGGTAGTCACTTAGTAGCCATCTCATTATCAGATCGATTGTCGAGGTGTAGCAGTGCTTATGTTCCAGTCACACTTATTTTTACTTACTAATGACCCTAATGTGCAAGAGTAGTAATGCTGGTGATTCGAATATGCCAAAGAGAAGCTGAAATGTGCTTCCTTTAAGTGAAAAGTGAAAGTTCTTGACTTAATAAGGAAAAAAGGCTGGGCCCGGTGGCTCACGCCTGTAATCTCAGCACCTTGGGAGGCTGAGGCAAGCAGATCACTTGAGGTCAGGAGTTCGAGACCAACCTGGCCAACATGGCGAAAACCCATCTCTACTAAAAATACAAAAATTAGCTGGGTATGATGGCATGCACCTGTCGACCCAATTATTTAGGAGGCTGATGCAGGAGAATCACTCGAACCCTGGAAGCAGAGGCTGCGGTGAGCCAAGATTGCACCACTGCATCTCCAGCCTGGGTGACAGAGCAAGACTCCATTAAAAAAAAAAAAAAAAAAAAGGAAAGGAAAAGAAATTATGTGCTTATATGCTGAGGTTGTTAAGATCTATGGTGAGAATGAATCTTCTATTTCTTTTTTCTTTCTTTATTTTTTTTTTTTTTGGTTAGAGATGGGGTTTTGTCCTGTTGCCCAGGCTGGTCTCAAACTGGCCATCGTTCACATGGCCATTGTTCAGCCATTATTCACGTTTTGGTGGATTTTGTTCATGTGAGAACAAAATCAAGTGATCCGCCCACCTTGACCTTCCAAAGTGCTGAGATTACAGGCGTAAGTCACCAAGAATGAATCTCCTATCACGAAATTGTGAAGAAGGAAAAAGGAATTTGTGCTAGCTTTGGTGTTGCACCTGAAACTGAAAAAGTTATGGCCACAGTTCATGGTAAGTGCTTAGTTCAGATGGCAAAGTCATTACATTTGTGAGTGGAAGACATGAACAGAAACGTGTTCTGGCTGGGTGCAGTGGCTCATGCCTGTAATCCCAACATTTTGGGAGGTCGAGGCAGGAGGATCACCTGAAGCCAGGAGTTTGAAACCAGCCTAGGCAACATAGCAAGACCTTGTCTCTACAAAATAAAAATAAAAATAAAACAACAAAGATATTACGTAGGCATGGTGGTATATCCTGTAGTCCCAGTTACTCTTGGAGTCAGACAAGAATTGCTTCAAGGCCGGGCGCGGTGGCTCACGCCTATAATCCCAGCACTTTGGGAGGCTGAGACGGGTGGATCACGAGGTCAAGAGATCGAGACCATCCTGGTCAACATGGAGAAACCCCGTCTCTGCTAAAAATACAAAAAATTAGCTGGGCATGGTGGCACGTGCCTGTAATCCCAGCTACTCAGGAGGCTGAGGCAGGAGAATTGCCTGAGCCCAGGAGGCGGAGGTTGCGGAGAGCAGAGATCGCGCCATTGCACTCCAGCCTGGGTAACAAGAGTGAAACTCCGTCTAAAAAAAAAAAAAAAAAAAAAAAAATTGCTTCAGCCCAGGATTTCGAGGTTACGGTGAGTTATGATCACATCACTGCACTCCAGCCTGGCTGACAGAGTAAGACTCTATCTCTAAAAAATAATGAATAAACATGTCTGATTTATGGTAACCAGATTTGATATAATCCAAGGTTCTAGGCATTCAGTGGGGCTCTTAGAACTTGTCTCTCTCTGATAAGGGGGGAACTGCTATATTATTAAAATATCATACCCATTTTAGAGAACTGAAAACAGAGGCATTGAGAAGCCAGATAGGTGGAAGAGCTGGGATTTGAGCGCAGGCAACACCTGGCTGCAGAGCCTGGGTGCTGAACCGATGCACCGTTCTGCCTCTTGTAGGAGCAGAAATCCGGGTGGAACCTAAAGGGAAAAAAGGCAGGTGGAGAAGGTGAGCCAGGCCGTGGGAGCGAGGCTGTTGGTGCTTGCTCTGGGCTGGTTCAGGTGGGTGTTGACAGAGCAGGGTCAGGGAGCAAGTCAGAAGAGCTGGGGCCAACTCAGTCTTTTTATTTCTGCAGCGTGCTGGACATTTTTCCAACTGTGGTAGCCCTGGCCCAGGCCAGCTTGCCCCAGGGTCGGCGCTTCGATGGTGTGGATGTCTCCGAGGTGCTCTTTGGCCGGTCACAGCCTGGGCACAAGGTAAGTGGGGGAGGTATGTGCCCACATGAGGCTCTTTAGGAGGCTGGGCTGCTGCCTCTCACCTCTGTGCAGACAGAACCATCCTCAGAAGATGCAAGCAAGTAGATGGTTCCCACCCCATTTGAGATGAGCCTCTTTCTAACCCTGAACTCCTGTCCAGATTTATATTTAACCATTTGGCTTAGGGTGGGTGTATATAGGTTCTCATTCCCTTTAATGGGCATTTTTTTCCTGCATGTTTTTAATTTAATAACATAGCTACCCAGCATGTTTTGTTAGATGAGATGACTGACTAGTGTCTACAACGTGTTTATTGTGAGCCTCTTCCTCTAGAATGGAAGCTTCTTGAGGGCAAGAATCTGAGCCATCAGGTTCAGCTCTGAGTTCTCACTGTCTTCAGTCAGCCAGCATTCAGTCCATGCAAACTGGATGAACCAATAATGGAACAAATGAACAAATGAGTGAAAGACCCTTTGGGCAGCAGGTCCGACAAGGGCTTTACATCCAATATTCCCCTGGCTCCAGATGGCTCAGCACATGCTCTGCAGCCTGTTGTGGTTTTCTTTCTTTTATTTTCTTTTTTTTTGAGATGGAGTCTTGCTCTGTCACCCAGGCTGGAGTGCAGTGGCGTGATCTCAGCTCACTGCAACCTCCGCCTCCCAGGCTCAAGGGATTATCCTGCTTCAGCCTCCCTAGTAGCTGGGATTACAGGCCCATGCCACCATGCTTGGCTAATTTTTGTATTTGTAACAGAGATGGGGTTTCACCATGTTGACCAGGCTGGTCTCGAACTCCTGATCTCAAGTGATCCACCCACCTTGGCCTCCCAAAGTACTGGGATTACAGGTGTGAGCCACCATGCCTGACCTGCAGCCTGTTCTTGACCAAGCAGTTTGTGACAATGGCTTTGGGCTTCCACTTACCAGCCTCACCTCCTCAATGTCCCCTCTTTACACTCTGAAGCACTCATTGGCAGTGACAGCCAGGAAATGTCAGGCCTCATGGCCTTTCCTTGTCATTTCCCTGTGTTTTCCTTTCCCCAAATGGAAGAGGAAGCAGGAAGAAGCAAGGAGGCCAAATGAGCAGCAAGTCCCCTCTGCAACGCCCTGCAAATGCATGACTTCTTGGTGAGGGACCCACACATCAAAGGGTCTATTTATGTCTTTGCTAAGGGTCACATGGAAGTGACTCAAATGTACACAAGTGTCCTGTGGCTGGTAGTTACTGAAGCTGTTCTTCCCACCCAGCCTCCCCCAGCAAACCAGAACACGGGTCCTCTGTGGGCCATTGGTGCCTCTGTGCACAGGAATGCAATTTTTAAGGGTTATCAGATGAGGCCTGAGAGGTCTTCTGAAGTCCTGCTTCTCCCCAGAATATCCGCCCGCTAGAGCTGCAGACCCTTCCAGGCCTAGCCCTTCTCCCTAAGCCAGAGCAGCAAGCAGGAAGATGGTTTCCGCCTTGAGGTTGGAAGTTAGCAATATGTGACCCTGGAGGGTTGTCACAGACGTCACTGGAGAGGTGCTCCAGAGTGTTTATTACCACGGCTGCTAGGAATAATTGGGGTCACCAGGAAGTGCTTCAAGGACTGTGGTCTCCTTGACGTTGTTGGTACTGCCTGTGGAAGCCAGCTCCTTCATGTGCTAATTTCCTTTCTCAGACAGGAGAGCTCTGCTCTTGCTCAAACTATAGTTTTGCCCAGGATCACAGAGACCCCAGCCTAACTAGTTCCCAGCAGGGTTAGGCGCAGGAATCAGACTGGGAAACCAGATACAAATCACAGCATCGTCATGGGGATGTATGATGGCATGGTTAATGCAGCTGGAGTCAGGACTGACTTGCTCCCTAACCACACCCCATGGCCCAGAAAGAAACAGCCACACTTACTGCTTGTGGGAAGCAGCTGATGGTATCTTCAAGGTTAAGAGCACATGGGGCTGGCACCCTGCCTCCCAGAGCACGCCTGCAGTATCAGTGAAGACACTCAAGAGAAGACTCTGAAGTTTGAGGACAACGTGGGGTAGTTGCTGGACCTGAATTTCGGTTTGGTCTTCTCTGGTCAGTCCTCTCTATTGAAGCAAAGTAATAGGCCTAAAGCAGGTGTCCCCAAACTACGGCCTGCGGGCCGCATGCGGCCCCCTGAGGCCATTTATCCGGCCCCCCGCCGCACTTCAGGAAGGGGCACCTCTTTCATTGGTGGTCAGTGAGAGGAGCACAGTATGTGGCAACCCTCCAACAGTCTGAGGGACAGTAAACTGGCCCCCTGTGTAAAAAGTTTGGGGACGCCTGGCCTAAAGAAATAAGAGTAAATTGTCTCAAATTTGGAGTAGCTACGGGGGAGGCCAGAAGGTAAGAATATGAGGAATGATATACACACATAAACATGCTATACATACACACACGTATATACACACATGTACAGACATGTGTGGATGTGTCTATACATGCATATCACACATATGCATGCATATTCTAGACATGTGTATGCATATGGATGTTTTATTTTATTTTTTTGTGATGGAGTCTTACTCTGTCTCCCAGGCTAGCGTGCAGTGGCACAATCTTGGCTCACTGCAACCTCCACCTCCTGGGTTCAAGCAATTCTCCTGCCTCAGACTCCTGAGTAGCTGGGATTACAGGCATGGTGCCACTATGCCCAGTTAATTTTTGTGTTTTTAGTAGAGACGGGGTTTCACCATGTTGGCCAGGCTGGTCTCAAACTCCTGACCTCAGGTAATCTGCCCACCTCAGCCTCCCAAAGTGCTGGGATTACAGGTGTGAGCCACCGTGCCTAGCCTGCATAGGTATGTTTGTATACCATGCATATATACACATGTATACACATGTATGCATATGCACATGTCGGTATACATGCATGTATAAATATGTATGCATGTGTGTGCTTATACATGCATACATATGTTTGCGTATGCATGTGTCTATATACCTAAACATATATACATGTTTATCTTCAAACACTATACATGTGAACATATGTATGCCTATGCATGTCTGTGCACATATATGTATACATTTGCATGCACACACATACATGTATACATATGTATATGTCCAGGCATATACATAGAGATATATGCATATATTTATGTGCATGCCTATGCACATGTATACATATGTATACGCATGCATATATCTATATACACATACATACATGTACACATGCATATGTCTGCATACATGCAAACATGTACACAGATGCATATGTCTATACACACATGCATACGTGTATACATATGTAATTTTAAATAAGCACAATTTGTGTTCACTCTCAGATACATCCTGGGCTTACAAGGATTCCAATATGAGTTAGTTTAGAAACAGTTTCAGTTCTAGAAGTTCAAAGTAACTCCTCGATATTCAGCTGAAAACAATATGTCGATGCATTTTAGCAATTGGGTTCTTCCCTATTGCAAACCAAGTAGCCAAGAGTTAAGCAGAGAAGCAAGAGAGTTGAGAGGTGTTGCGCACGTAATGAGCTACCACTTCCCCCTGGATGGTGTTCTCACAACCCACTTCATCAACCTCTAGGGACATTGTGTCTGTGATGTTCAAAACCACGGCAGCTGACACCATGCTGCGTGTTCTTGCATCAGCCCAACCTCCTGCTTCTGATCTTGATGCGTCTGTGTCTAGGCAGTGAAGGTCACCAGGAGAGAGATGAGGTCTGCACAGCCTAGAACCAAATGTTCCACTTTGTGCTTTCCGGACTCCCACATGGCAGCTGAAGGTTGTAACATCACCACTGCTCAGGTTGTACCTTAGCCCCAGGTTGTCATGATCAGGTCCAGAAATTGTCCACAAAGGAACGTTTTCCCCAATAGCTCTGCATCTGCCTAGCCCAACACTGTGTGGGGCTGCTGTGGCTCACCAAATGCTTGGCACACCCCTGGAGGCCGTACATTGAGGAAACAAGCTGCCTTGTAACGTCCAGAATGTGGATCGCTTCTCTTAGGGAGGCCCCTAGTGGCGAGAGATGTCATCTGGAGTGGGTGGCAAACTACTGACCACCCCATCTGCCCCGTTTGGGAGCTGTGCATCCCTACCTGAATGGTGAAGAAGCCCACCTTTAGGGGATGCTATATCAGCACCCTCTAGGACCTAAAACAAGGGAACACTTGTGCTTAAAAAAACAAAAGAAGATAAAATAGAGCAAGAAAGGCAACCAGGAAGGCAAAACACGTTTGCATAAGATAAAGTCATCTTTGAAATTTGAACCAGGCATCTGGAGAGCTGTGATTCATATGCACTTTTGACAACTTCCTTCCTATGTTGATATAAACAAGAAAGCCATAATGGGTCTGCTCAAACGAAAAAAAAAATGCATAGACAAGTTGTCCAAAGTCCATCTATGTTTCTGAGAATGAGCCATCCCACAGTGTTGCTTCCTCTTGGATTTTGGAAGTTGCCTCTGGTAATGCCACATAAATAGTGGGAAAAGAGCAGCCCACCCTCATGGAGTTTCTGTGATTGCGACCCAAGTACTGTGAATGACCTGAAGCAGCAAGCCTTCACTCCCATCTTTTGCATGTCCGAGTGCATCGTATATCAGTTGACAATAGATTTTCCAAGTCTCCCACTTGCTGCTGTCTCAAGAAGGAAACAAAACAGTCTCCTGTGGTGAAGAGGCTTGGCTTTCTGCAGGGATGGAAGAAGTGAGGGTTTTCAATGACGACTTCTTTTCCTGTTTGGAAGGAACCTGCTATCATCACGCGCGCCCTGGGTATGTGCAGGGATTGTCATGAGAACCTGGAAGCAGCAGGTGTGGGGAAGAGACGCACCTCAGCAGCATCCTCTCAGAGTTGTGAAACTCGGGGGTACAGCTGTTTACTGCTCCAGCAGATGTTTCTCGTTTTTTTTTTTAAAGTCCCGTGGAAACTTTGAATCATGTAACTGCCTTTCCAGCCATATATACGGTTGTGATTCATACCAAGGCAATGTCATGCTTTTAGCCCAGACCCACCAACCTACCAAGGTCACTGGCCTTTTATTTTCTTTCACATCCTTTCCTTGAGAACCCTGAATTAGCTGTTTCCATTCTGCAGGGTAATTCTTTTATCTGTGACCTGATGAGGAAAGATTTCCTCAGTCCAAATATAGTCGGATTGAGTCATAGCTGTGGGCGTCTGCGTCCAGAGGCTGGGCTGTGCCTGGTTCTGGGGAAATCAAGGATGCCACCTTTTGTACCATCCCTGCTCAAGAGAGAGTTGGAAAATTGACTTGATGCTAAAGAAACCTTTTTTCCAAGAGATTTGAGGGTCACCTGCATCAGAATCCCTAGAAATATTTGTAAAACAAGTCAGTCCCCAAGGCCCATCCTGACACTGAGGGGTTGGAACTCGGGCAGGGTGGCCTTTAGGTCTGTGACCTGTTCACCACACAGAGCCCTGCACTTATAAAGGGACTGTGCTTGGTTTTAAGCTCTGTCATAGTCATCATGAAATTTTAAGTTTGTGTATAAGTTTGTGATTTGCATTTTGCAGTGGACTTTGCAAATTACATAGCAGGTTTCAGGCCTGGAAATCTGACCTACCTAGTGAAACCTTTTGCCTACTCTTCCAGAGTTGTAACCCACTCCCATCAATTAACCAGCAAAATAACTTCACAGGCTCCCTGGGGTTGGCTGGTGTGGACTTCCAGGCTTGTGTCTGTCAGTGTGTGTTGGGGTGCAGGCATAGGGAAAGCAGACCCTAAAAAAGGCAGTAATATTTTCCAGGGAGCATCCAGCATCATCTAGCATGTTTTATTTTTTTTTTTTTTGAGACAGGGTCTTGCTCTGTCATCCAGTCTGGAGCGTAGTGGTATGATCATAGCTCACTGCAGCCTTAACCTCCGAGGCTCAAGCAATCCTCTCACCTCAGCCTCAGAGTAGCTGGAACCACAGGTGTGCACCATGATGTCTGCTGAAGTTTTGTATTTTTGTGTAGAGAAGGGTCTTGCTGTGTTGCCCAGATTGGTTTCAAACTCCTGGGCTCAAGTGATCCTCCTGCCTCGACCTCCCAAGGTGTTGGGATTACAGGTGTGAGCCACCGAGCTCTCCCAAGTTTTTCCGTTTGTGAGCTCTGCCACTCTTTCCCAGGTGCTGTTCCACCCCAACAGTGGGGCAGCTGGAGAGTTTGGAGCCCTGCAGACTGTCCGCCTGGAGCGTTACAAGGCCTTCTACAGTTACCGGTGAGTGAGGGGCCACCTACCCCTGCCTCCCCATGTGCACACCTGCACGGGGACCCTGCGGACTCTCACCCATGCCTCTGAGAATGAGTGTGGGCTGACCTCCTTTTGGGGGGTTCTCAGCAGCTCTTGACAGTGTCTCCCCCAAACCCAGGGTCCCTGCACAGGCTCTCTGGATCCCCCATATGCAAATAAGGCCTTTGTGCTGTTCACCTGACTTTCTAGGGAGCTGGGAGCTCTCAACACATTTATTTAGCTCCTTTTCACACAGTGAGTGTTTCCCATTATTATGCTTTAAATGCCAGTTTGGATGAACATTAAATGGAAGCCTAGAGATATTTTAAAGTATAATTTACTTGACAATAGACTGTTTCAGAAAATAGATTTTAGAGGACTAGTTAGCAAACCGACAGAAGTCTCTCTGCTTCTTGGTTTACTGTGACTATCCATCTCTTATATGTATATTTTAGAAGTGTCACACTGGATCAGGATGATCCTCAGGGTCCTCTGATGCCTTCTTGCTGCCAGCTGAATTCAGACTCTCACTCCTGAGTCCTTCTGTCTTTCCAGCCTTAGTTTTCCACAAACAAGTCTCCTCTTCCTTTAAATCCCTTCAGCTTTTTTTTTTTTTTTTTTTTTTAAGATGGAATCTTGCTCTGTCGCCAGGCTGAAGTGCAATGGCGCAATCTCGGCTCACTGCAACCCCCGCCTCCTCATTCAAGCAATTCCTCTGCCTCAGCCTCCTGAGTAGCTGAAATTACAGGCATGCACCACCATGCCCAGATAATTTTTTTGCATTTTAGTGGAGAGGGGGTTTCACCATGTTGGCCAGAATCGTCTTGAACTCCTGGCCTCATGATCCACCCGCCTCAGCCTCCCAAAGTGCTGGGATTACAGGCATGAGTCACCACGCCCAGCCCCCTTTCAGCTTTTAAGGTCCAAGTCAAATGTCACTTTCACAAAATTCTCTCTTATCTTCCCAGCTGGCTAGGAATCCTGGAGAACACTGTGATCTCACTTTCTGCCAGTCATTTAGGTACATGTTTTATCTCCTGTACTAGTTTTAAGCTTTCTAAATTCAGAACTCTTCCAGTGCTTTAATCTTTGTTGTCTTGAAGTGCTTAGCTACAGTTTTTTTTTTAATGAATGAAAAACAAAAACTAGAAAAAGGGAAACCTGTGACCTAATGCAGATTCCAACTTGATTCAGTTATTTCATGTTGGAGCTTTTCAAAGAATTAGATAATAATAAAATTATTTTCTCTGGGTGTAAATAAGTGATCCAGAAGAAAACGTGGCATAAAAACGAAACATGACTTGAACGGTATTAAAAATGTCACAAAAATCTTTGATTCTCTAAAACCTAAAACTCAAAACAGTCAGATACTTGTTATGTTTTCAGATGAGAAGTTTCTAGATGAGAATCCTTATATTACATTATGTAAGAGGTATGGGACTTCCAGGCTGTGTTAATTTCACAAGGAATAGTCCTGCCAGAAAGCCCTTGGCAGCACAATGTTGGAATCATACATGTTACTATGAAGTAATAGGGCTGTTTAAAATGATCACAATCAGATAGGAATTATAGCACCCAGGGGAGGTCTGCTCTTCTAAGGAGTCACCAAACTCCCGAGAGAGGCTGGATAGGGAGCACTAAACTTTTAATGCATCAGTGAAAACTGGGAATAGGATGAAACAGCGGTATCTTCTGATTCCCCCTTCCTCTTGTGTCTAACATTTGCATCCCAGTTACATGTAACTGCTTTTGGATAAGCTAGATGAATTGACATCTACCACATTAGATTAGAGAAAGATGTGTGCTTCTATGAGGATACCATGTTATGGTCACACACTGGGAGTGGCCTTAGAAAGACAACCAGTCTGTTTTGGCATGTGGCCTAGAATTAAGGTACCTTACTGTTTTTCATTTTAAGAAGCAGATAAGGCAGCTGTGATGGCTCACGCCTGTAATCTCAGCACTCTGGGAGGTTAAGGTGAGTGGATCTCTGAGGTCAGGAGTTCGAGACCAGCCTGGCCAACATGGTAAAACTTCATCTCTACTAAAAATAAAAAATTAGCCAGGTGTGGTGGCACATGCCTATAGTCTTAGCTACTCAGGAGGCTGAGGCAGGAGAATCGTTTGAACCTGGGAGGTGGAGGTTGCAGTGAGCCAAGATTTTATCACTGCACACTGCACTCCCGCCTGGGCAACAGAGTAAGACTCCGTCTCCAAAAAAAAGAAAGAAAGAAAGAAAAAAAAGCAGTTAAGGCAACCTGTACACATAGTGAGAGGCCCCAGATATAAAATGTATAATTTGGTGAGGTTTTGTAAGTGTAGATACCTGTATATGTACTCTTTTAATGGTGTGAGTTCCATTGCTTATTTTTGTCTTTTTCTATTGATTGATTTTCAACTGTTAAGCCAACTTTGCATTTCTGGATAAATCCCATTTAGTCATGATGTATTGCACTTTTTATATCTTGCTGGATTTGATTTGCTAAGACTTTATCTATAATTTTCCTTTCTTGTCTGTGTCAACGTTTGGGATCAGGATTTTTCTGACCTTATAAAACGAGTTCAAAAATATTCCCTTCTCTGTTTTCTGAAAGGGTTTGTGTAAGATCAGTATTATTTCTTTCATGTTTGATTGAATTCATCTGTGAAATGATTTGCCAAACTCAGTGTTGTGAAGATTTTGTCTTATTTTTAAAAAGATTGTTAGTATTTTAGGTCTTATATTTAGATTTTGGATCCATTTCCAGTTAATTTTTGTATGTGGCATAAGGGAAGGGTCCAATTTCATTGTTTTACATGTTGACATCTAGTTTTCCCAGCACCATCCGTTTGTTGAAAAACTGTCCTTTCCCCATTGAATGGTCTTGGCACCCCTGTTAAAAACTGTTTGATCATACATGTAAGGGATAATTTCCACTGTCTATTCTTTTCCATTAGCTATATGTCTATCCTTCTGCCAGTACCACACTGTTTTGATTACTATAGACTTGTTGTAGTTTTGAAATCAGGAAGTTTGAATCCTCCAGTTTGGGGCCTTTTAATTTTTTTTATTTTTTAAGACTGTTTTGACTTTTCTGGATCCTTTGAGATTCCATGTGAATTTTAGGATGGGTTTTTCTATTTCTGCCAAAAACATCATTGGGATTTTGATAAGGATTGTGTGTAAATTACTTTGGGTAGTGTTGACATTTTCACAGTATTAAGTCTTTCAATCCATGAACATGAGATGTAACCATTTATTTATGTCTTCCTTAATTTCTTTCAGCTATATTTTATGGTTTTCATTATACAAGACTTTCATTTTTTTGTGTTAATTTCTATTTTATTCTTTTTGGTGCCATTGTAAATGAAATTGTTTTTGCAATTTTCTTTTTCAGATTGTTCACTATTAGTGTGTAGAAATCTAACTGGTATTGTGTTTTGAATTTTTATCCTGGTATTTTGCTGAATTCCTTTATTAATTTTGCTTTTATGTGGAATCTTTAGGTTTTCTTCATAAAAGATTATATCTTCTCTGAAGGAGGTCATTTTACTTCTTCCATTCCAATTTGGATGCTCTTCATTTCTTTTGCTTGCCTAATTGCTCTGGCAGGAATGTCCAGTACTATGTGGAACAGAAATGGCAAAAATGGCATTGAAACTTTTATTAATATGTTATGTCCTTCTCTTTGTCTCTCATAATCTTTAAAAAATTTAATGTCTATTTTGTATGACATTAGGATAGCTACTCTGTCTTTTGATTGTTATTTGCATGGAAAATCTTTTCCTACTGTTTCACTTTATTTTTTTCATGGGTTATTGGGGTACACATGGTGTTTGGTTACATGAGTAAGTTCTTTAGTGGTGATTTGTGAAAATTTGTTGCGCCCATCACCCAAGCAGCATACACTGCATCCTATTTGTAGGCTTTCATCCTTGGCCCCCTTCCCACCCTACCTCCAAATCCTCAAAGTCCATTGTGTCATTCTTATGCTTTTGCATCCTCCTCATAGTTTAGCCCTCACATATCAGTGAGAATATATGATGTTTGGTTTTCCATCCCTGAGTTACTTCAGTTGGAATCATAGTCTCTCAATCTCATCCAGGTTGCTCCAAATGCTGTTGATTCATTCCTTTTTATGGCTGAATAGTATTCCATTATTTATATATATATATATATATATATATCACAGTTTATTTATCCACCCTGTTGATTGATGAGCATTTGGGTTGCTTCCACAATTTTGCAGTTCCAAGTTGTGCTGCTACAAATATGTGTGTGCAAGCGTTTTTTGTATAATGAATTCTTTTCCTCTGGGTAGATACCCAGTAGTGGGATTGCTGGATCAAATGGTAGTTCTACTTTTAGTTCTTTAAGGAATATCCACACTGTTTTCCATAGTGGCTATACTAGTTTCCATTCCTACCAGCAGTGTGGAAGTGTTCCCTGTTCACTGCATCCATGCCAACATCTACTGTTTTTTGATTTTTTGATTATGACCATCCTTGCAGGAGTGAGATGGTATCACATTGTGGTTTTGATTTGTATTTCCTTGATCATTAGTGATGTTGCGCAGTTTTTTCATGTTTCTTATCCATTTATATGTCTTCTTTTGATGATTGTCTATTCACCTGCTTAGCCTACTTTTTGATGGGATTTTTTTTTTCTTGCTGATTTGTTTGAGTTCATTGTAGGTTCTGGATATTAGTCCTTTGTCAGATTGTGAAGATTTTCTCCCACTCTGTGGACTGTTTACTCTGCAGACTGTTCCTTTTGCCATGCAAAAGCCCTTTAGTTTAATTAAGTTCCAGCTATTTATCTTTGATCTTATTGCATTTGCTTTTGGGTTCTTGTTCATTGAATCCTTGCCTAAGTCAATTTCTAGAAGTGTTTTTCCAATATGATCTTCCAGAATTTTTATAGTTTCAAGTCTTGGATTTAAGTTTTTAATCCATCTTGGTTGATTTTTGTATAAGGTGAGAGATGAAGATTCAGTTTCATTCTCCTA